AAAAAGAAACATTATACCTTATTGTTTTTCTGATGAAATAAAACTTTTTGTTTGAAAAAGCAAAAAAAAACATTGTATTCATAAATTGTTCTTCAGTGACGACAATGTTAATTTATCTGCAATATGTCGATAATTTCAGTTATACTTGTAAAGAGAAAATCGATTGGCAATTAGATTTTTTTGCTGTTGTTGAGATTTATCAATAAGAAACTAAATGAACGATGAAAAGATGCATGGTATTGGCAGCTAGTTTTCCAGTTTTTGGAGGTTCTCAGAGCAGTTTATCAAGATTTTGTTATCTATATATTACTAGTAAAACCGATAATGATGATAATGAAGCTTGTTTTTTTCTCGAAGAATATCCGAGAGATCTTATACAGTTCCGCGACAATCACCAGATGCAAGGAAAACGAATTAGATTAGCTACCATTTCTATTCGACGAACAACAATAACTGTTTCTGTAAATATGTCAAAAGTTAAAGTCTAATACGATCAAGAAAAATAAACTACTAGATATTAAACAATAAGCTGGCCACAGATTATTTGCAAATAAAAATAAAACGATTATATGTCACATGTGCATCTAAACGATAGATACTGTTAAAGTAGTTCCCTCTTCCCATAGAGTAGTAGCCAATTGATGTCCTAATATGTTTTGCAAGTCCAAAACTTGGATGTTGCTTTTATTCCGATGAAGTTCTTTTGTGTTGTAGCTATGATTTGATAAACTTCAATTATAGAAGGGATAGATTGAAATTTTCAAATTGTCTCAAGACTTTGATAGTTATCAACGAACAAATGTTCACGTGTTCTTCGGTCATTAGTACGTGGTGGATCTTAATATACATACGTTACACTGCGGTTATAGCGATATTTTTGTTTGAGAAACAACCGAAGTTTGAAGAAGCAGACAAATAAGGTTTTTGAGGCGTACCCATATGTTTGACTGCGATCAAATTGCGACGCAGTTACGCGTAACTGCGTCGCAGTCGTTAAAAAAGTGGCGACATGGGTATACCGCTGGGCGTTGTCAGGCAATGTCATCTTACAAACTTCTATACAGTTACAAAATGCAAGGAGGTTATTTCAATTAACTTGAAACAAATGTCAAGTGAACTCTTTATTATCAAATGAGAACTTGTTGCAGCAGAATAAGGTGACACAGAAACAAATATGTAATGCATCATATCGAAGTATAAGAAATGCAAAAAGAAGTCTTGGAAAGTAATATCAGGCAAAAGATTTCACAAAGGCTGATATTTGTAGCGTCCATCGTAACATAGAACATGTGTATACTTACCTTTATGTCAGTCTGAATACGTAGTAGTGTGAAGGATGAATGTATGACTGCTGATATATAGCATTTTTATCATCACGATCTTTGAACTATCAGTTACAATTGAAATAGGTTTGTTTTGTTTTTGCCTATCATGGCCCCGACATGTCTTTTGGAATTTTTTATCTATATTTGAAGTTTAATCAGACGACTTCTCAAACCGTTCGTCAAGCTAAGTGAAAGTCATTTTTTTCAGATTCAAAAGAACTGAATAATAAGTTCTGCATTCATGCTGTTGTGAAATATGACCGTCAAATGTCAATGCTCTTGCCTATTATATGCATCAGTTATTCCCTGTATTGTCGTTGTACACTTTCTGTCACTTCTTAGTTGTATGCCTAACCATATGTTGTATTACTATCATGATTAGAATTTTTCAATTTTGCGACACAGGACTAATATGATCAAAAATATTGCGGTAATTCAAACGTTTTTTTTTTATGAAAAATATTTATAATACAGTTGTCTTTGGTTTAGAGAAATAAATTGAATGAGTAACTGAAACCAGAATGATACATTAATGCAGAGTGATACAATTACGCCTGTGAGAAAAATCAGAAACATCAATATGCCTGTTTGAGCTTCGAAGACAGGCTAGAAAAAATGGCTCCTTGCAAGTTCTGTTATAGACCATCACCACAAGTATGGTTCTATGAATATGAACGAAAATTACTACCACGACCAGATGGATTCCCACTAACGTCAATAATTATTTTCTCAGAAATATTATTCAAATCAAATCTCTAAACATGATATGATACCGATATTGTTGGTTACAATCAAATCAAAATATTAGTATATTAACATGTGTCCTCGTTCTCAACATTTTTGTTGATTCAAAACTGTTTTTTCTTGAGATAAACTAAAGCACGAGCATGAATTGCAACCTTCAAACAAAAAATAAAATAGCGTTGGTGTATTTGTTTATCACCACAGTCAAATGACAGCATTCCCATGATGTGTGGGGCATATACAAGGACAAATTTATAGCACTAACTAAAGTATAAAAGGAGTACGAGATTCTCTTTCATCTTCACTTGAATTAATCTTTAGTTCCTAGTAAAAATACATCAATAACAATGAAAGCTGCTCTTGCTCTTATCTTCTTCGCTTGTGTTGCTGGTTCAATGGCTTCAGATGCTCGTAGCCAATTTGTTGACCAACTTGTTCAAGAAGGACAAGCTATTGCTAGCACTGTTTTGACTCACCTT